TGTTGTAAGAAAGAGCTGCTTGCTAGAGTCATCCACTTCTGGAAGGCAAGGAACCCTAAAAAAGGAGGTCTGCTTATGGGATATGAACTGCTTCTAATCGATCAAAAGGTAACGACACCAACATTATTTACCAATTACCAATAGAAAGTTAAATCATCATCAACTTATAATACTCTTTTCTACCATAATTTAATACAGGGAACTACAATCCAAGCATTCATACCAGCTTATCACTAGGAGACTATGAGGAAAATTTAAAGGCTGGTGAAGTTTACAAGTTTAATAGCTTTCTGGTCATCAACAACAAAAAGGCGGGAGAAGTCTACAACATTGGTAGTTTTCATCATCAACATACAAGTTCTCCTCACACAGATTTCTCATCCAATTCATTCCGGAAACAACAATGGTGCAAGCCGACCATGATGACTACACTATTGAGGGTCAAAACTTTGGGATTCGTTCCAACGCCGAGTTTAATGAATCTGTTGACAAGAACGAGGACCTTTATGGTAATAACTCTTTCATTATGAGTAGAGTTCAATCAAAGGAAGACATTGAGAAAAGTATGTTTAGACGATGGATGGAGAGAAACGAAGAATCAGAAGAGGCTCATCAGATAACTTATTCGGAATTTCTGAAAAAAATTTACATGGAACAGCGATAGAAGTCTATGGTCAAAAGTGGAAAGTTTTGAAGAGATTCAAAGTGCTGGGGACACGAAATATGATGATTACAAATCAGTATCCTATGATAGAGGTCTCCTAGATTCAGACTCCGAGTGGCATGACGTGATGGACGAAGCAACTCAATGGTCTACACCTTATCAACTACGAAGACTATTTGTTTGCTTGCTGATATTTTGTCAAGTTGGGAGTCCTCTAAATTTGTGGAATCGCTATTGGAAATCACTAGGTGAAGACATGCTTCACAGAAAACGCAAGACTTTCAACTTTCCCAAGCCTACGTTAAATGAAAATCAGCTAAAGCAATACACTTTGATGGAGATAGAGAAACTTATGAACCAAGGACGATCAGTAGCTGAGTTCAAAGACATGCCGTGCTATAATAGATAGACTAGATCTAATGTTCGATTAAAAGACTATTATCTAATGCTTATCCTTTTACTTTTTATCTAAAGACTATTATCTAATGTTGCTAAGTACTTGGTGGAACAGAGAGAAAGTTTACCAACCTTGACAATCTCTGGCTGTGATTCAAACTTTTGTTTCAAGAAATACTCCACAGCTTTCACATCATCATATGCTACTCTCTCGACCTTATTAACTTCCAACGTATCATCAATGCTAAACACAGCGAATATGAATTGCAAGTAGACATCACCATCTTTTGAAAAGCATGGAACTTCGGTGACTTGAGGGACTTTTGAAAGATACAGAGGCAATTTAATCTACCAAATATATTAAAAAAACAAGAGCATTTGATGCGCCCCTGGACTAGATCGACTATGAAGGTAAGTGAATGAATGGATCGGATCACAAAGGAACCGATGATGAATGATTGAGCGGATTGGAAAGTGAATCGAATGGCTATACTAGAGATCCAGCGGAAGAGATCTCTAACACCACCTCCAACGTGTTGATATTACACACAACAAGTGAGAGGAAATCTGTGGACTTAGTTGATATTACGCACAACAAGTGAACAGAGAATAATCAAACAAAAGAGAGGTTTTGATATTAGATTGATTGATAAACTGAAAAGGATTTCGTCCAGTACAATATAAAGGGAAAGAGAAGAAGGGAAGAGGAAGAGATGAGTCAAGGAACAAGCTCCAAAGACTATCTCGGAAAAGCAAACACAATTAAAACAAAGTTTGAACACAAATATGACCCTTGATCTTCATGACCACGTTTTTAGCCTTCTTTATTGATGGGCCTTGGTCTTGATCAGCTAAATGGGTGATTTGTATGTGACCCATTTGCCTCATTAAAAACCTTGTCAAGAAAACCCATTGGGACAAAACTTGACAAGGGAAAAAGAGTACAAATGAGACACATGCCCATTTGCTGATCTCTTGAGCTTGGATCAAAAACCAGGGAGGTTTAGGATCATGTCTTCTCCATCTTGGCTCAAGATTAACTCCAGAATGAGTAATCAGTTCCATTGGCGCAGCTACAGAATCCTTGGAAACAAGCTCCTTCTCAGCTGCAAGCTCTTTAATTCCGTCAGGTTCCAGCTCCATATGTTTAGCTCCATCAGGTTCAAGTTGCGCGGCTTCAAGTCCCTCCTCGGCTTCAAGCTGCTCCATTCCATCTTCTTCCTCGGCCAAAAGCTGCTTTTCCTGAACCTCCTCATCCATGATCGCATCAGCATTAGACAACTAAAGAACTCGCAAATACTTAGTCAACACAAAAATGAAAAAACAAAATCATAAATTAGTAATAAACATTCACTTGGGTGAGAAACAAGTACCCGGACAAGTACTCGGAAATTGATAAAAGAAAACTCGCTCATGGAAGAGGCAAAGTCATTAGCTTTACCCCAGTAACGTCCATCGAAAGGCGACAATTTTGAAAAATTAGATATCTCTGAGTCTCTGGAACTTGGCGGAGCAGTTGGCATCACCTAGAGTTATAGAAAAATTTGGATCGAAGAAATTAAACGCTAAACACATAATCTCAACATCAACAAAACTGGCTTCAAAATAGGGAAAATTCAAACCTTTCACGAAGTGATTAGCTTGAGAGAATCAGTAGAAGAAACAGAGAAATAAAGTCTCGGAAGAGGGATTAAAGCAGAAACTGTTCCCTCAATCAATTGATCAAATTAGTTTTGACAGGTCTCAATCGCTCAGAGGGATTAAGGCAAATAACCAAGATGAGAAACAAAGAAGAGGGATCTCGATGATGAGATTAACAATGTTCCGGTGGGAATAAGGTAGAAACATTGTTCGATTTTGTTGTCGCAAATGAAGAAAAACAACGAATCATTTCTAATTTCAATGTGATAGCAAAACCGAACCGTAAAAAACCAAAACAATGGAACCGGGAATTGGAAACGCGGTTATTAATTAAACAGGATACGAAAAAGAAAAGTTTGGAATATATGAGACTTTTTAACTATCAAAACAGTGATTTAAAAATAAAGAGATGAATTTATTAAATGGAATTGAATGCAAAATAATAAACTAAAAAAATAATATAAATAAATAAATATAAAAATAAATTAAGTATAAATCATAAACTCAGAGCTGGAAAAGCTAAACTAATAAATAAAATTAAAAAGGAAACTTAACAACTAAAATAATGTATTAGACTAATATTGGATTGTACAAAAGTTTGCCGACCTTTAATGATATAAAAAATTAAAAAGTGTCTAATGAATAGTAAAATTAAGGGATTAGTTTAAGAAATATGAGGATAAGGCTGTTGTATGTTTTTTACAGAAAATATATTTTTGAAAAGTACCTTACTTATTATGACTAATTATAAAATAATTAAATGGTTAAGTAAAAAAATAATTAAAAAGTATATTACAAAGAAAAGTTTATAAAAAAAACAGCAAAAAAAAAGTGAAGAGTTTGTAAAAAAAAATATATAACAGTTTAAAATTTCATTAGAACAGACCCGCGCATGCGCGGGTCAAAACGTAGTATTAACAGATACCAGGATAACATCTAGTCACTACACAAACTAGAAAAACCAAGTCAATACCACCAAAACAGTTAACTGTGACATTGACCGTTAGAGAGTGCTGAATTGGCGACACCGTGGGCCATGGCAATACCAAAATATTGGCCTCATAAAAAATAAATATAGATTTGTACCTCAGCAGGATCAAACCGTGATTGGGGGGCTATTTCAAAATATATTCCACCACTTATAAACTACTCCCCCTGTCCCATATTATAAGCTGTTTTGGAAAAAACAATTGTCCCACAATATAAGCAGTTTTGTGTATCCAATGCACTTTTTACTTTATGGGATATTGTGTACCCAATAAGATTATACAGATTTATTCACCAATTGGTTAGAATATGTTTAATTTATTTTCTAATGATATTTTCTTTTAAAATTTTACTTTTCTTAATTTTCCACTTTTGTGCCAAACTGCATAAGCTGTTTTGGAAAAAACAATTGTCCCACAATATAAGCAGTTTTGTGTAACCAATGCACTTTTCACTTTATGGGATATTGTGTACCCAATAAGATTATACAGATTTATTCACCAATTGGTTAGAATATGTTTAATTTATTTTCTAATGATATTTTCTTTTAAAAATTTACTTTTCTTAATTTTCCACTTTTGTGCCAAACTGCTTATAATTTGGGACAGAAGGAGTTTATGTTTGTGTTTATGCTCAATAATAAAATCATTATATTATATATTCGCTTTCATGATTTATTTAAAAAAAAATTCTCATGTTTATCTCTACCCAATTTAACCCGACCAGTCCAAATTTACTGATCTCATTTAAGTTTCAAAAGTATAAATTTATATTCATAAGGGTTCGAACTGTGGGGGTTTGAAGCCTCACATATCATTTCTCTGCTACTTGAGCAAATATTTATCTTATTTAATATAACTAGGATTAAGCTCGCGCGATGTGCGGGTTGTGACTATTACAAAATTTTATCACTTGTATCTTAATTCTCACATTAATTTTGCAAATATTTTGTTTCTAATATTTGTTCCAAATACGTTAATTTATTGTAATAATATAAATATATATTGTTATTTATTTTGTCTAATATCAAATTTCGCAAAATGTTAGCTGTTGTTTTGGAAGAAATAGTATAACATTTTTATTTAAGAATTTTAACACTGCGTAAAAATTAATATCATATAAAGGAGAACACATGAAATCCAAGAACAACATACATACTTCTGCATGCATGGACGTAAGATTTGTTTTTTCCAAACAATAAAAGCGGCTTCATATTTCCATTGTAATTGCATACATTAGTCAAATTACGTATCGGTTTGATGTCTTATAATGTTAACACACATTGCTTAGTCAGTTGGTCTGTTTTAGTTTATTTCCTCCTTGGGATCCATGTGCTGAGATTTCTTGTTCTTATTTTTTTGTAAACTGAAGTGCAAACCGATGAAAGACAGCTTTAACAAAAAAAAAACCGATGAAAGACAGAAAACATCATATTAGCCTTATTTCTCATATCCATGCTAACTGTCCAGGCCTTTTGTGAATTCAAGTTTTTCCAACACAAAATTTAGCATCTTAAAAAAAAGTAAAAAAAAAAAAGTTTGCCTTTTCTCTGCTATTTTCTTATTATAATATATTCGCTGAAATGAAGCTCCACTTCTTTCTTCTGGACAGGTTTTTAGAAACGTAGATGAATTAATGCTAACATTGATTATGATGTGAGCAGGATGTATAGATAAAATATCTTAAAATATGAAACTGGTTTGATGAAAGATCCCAAGTGGTTTAAAGAGTCAAAACTTTATTAACGATAGATAGATAATCTGAACATATCCAAAGCTAAGAAAACAGCACAAAAAACATCTTTGATATAGTGCAAACTCCAGCGCAAAGGAAGATACCTCATTATCGATTGGCTTTGGCAATTTTCTCAATCTCATCTTTTTTCTTCATGGCATAGCTATAAAGAGAAGACATTAATGCTTTTATCAGGTACACAAACTCACACAAATGTGAAGCCAATAAGTGAGAAAACAATGTAGAGAGAAAGTGTTGGGTTTTAACCTGTTGGAAGATCCCTTGAGAGCATTGATGAGTTCATCAGCAAGGCACTCAGAAATAGTCTTGATGTTTCTGAAAGCAGCTTCACGTGCCCCAGTGGTGAGCACGAAGATGGCCTGGTTCACACGTCTTAGAGGAGAGATATCAACGGCCTGCCTCCTCACCACGCCAGCAGATCCAATGCTGGTAGCATCTTCACGTGGACCACTGGCTCACCCAAGAAAACAAAATATCATTCGCAAAAGCTTCACAATAGCTAGCAAGAAACTACAGTTTTTTCAGTATTACAGTTTTAATTTTACCTGTTAACGATATCGTCAATGATGACCTGAATTGGGTTCAAGTCAGTCAACAGATGAATTGTAACAGCCCGGCTCACCGGCCCACCGCCGGCCCGGCGCTGTTAGGGCTGCAGCCCAATACACCCCAACCCCTCTGGTGTATAAGGCCACTGCCACTATATCAACCTAGGTTGTTGGTGAGACTCGAACCTGAGACCTCACCCTTTATGTAGCCTTCCCTACTAGAAGCTATCACCAATTGATTGTAACATCCCGGTTTGTGATAAATGAGGAGAGGCTTAAGAGAATTGATTTGGCTACTTATGTCAACAAAGTGCACTTACCTTTTCGGTCAAAGGTCTATAAGTAACTCCAGTTAAGCGTGCTTGTGCTGGAGTAGTTGAAGGATGGGTGACCTTTCGGGAAGTGGTTTCCGAAACCGTGTGAGTGAGGCCAAAACACGTGGAAAGGTCAGGTGTTGATTGCAAGGATAGTAAACAAATCATTAGAGCCTCTCGAAAATAACGGACCGGCCGACGGACAGGGGTGATGCCCACGGGCCGAGATGGGCCTGCGGGCCTAGAGAGAGGTCGTGGGTGACTCACCGGAAGGGGCGGTTGGGGCGTTATATGGATGATCTCCATGGCGTGTTTGATGATCCCAACAGCCATCAACATCTTACAGTTGTTCCTTCCGTTCATCATGAGAGAGTTCGTGAGCCTCTCAGTTGGGCATTGAGCCTTCCTAAACAACTTCACTGAGTATCTTCCAGCTGTGCGGGGAACAAATGTTGCGTGTTTCGCTGGCTGAAGACGACAAGACTAATGTCGGTGACGTACACGCACCATAAGAAGATCGAAAACGAAAATTAACCAAATCCAGTTATCTCATTAAATATAAAAAAGCTTGGTAATTTTTATGAACTTTAATAATCGTATCATGTCATGCAAGAATCTCCGGTGTAACTCCAGCGACCAGCAACGTCTTTGCTTCCTAAGCATTTGCGATTGTTTCTGCTGCTTTGACTCTCATTGGTTTCCCCCGGTTTCCTCCGTAGAGCTCGACATCGTTGGCGTTGGAGTGATTGCCTCTAGCGGTTGAGAATCAAACTTGGCCGCAACCACGGCCTTATTCTTTTGAAACGGCTGAAACACACGCCGCCATATCGTTTGACATCCACCGCCATCGTCGTCTGATTTTATTGATTCTACAACATAAACAAATAAGATTTTTTTTAAATTTAAGGCTCCTCAGATTTGCATTTTTCCGATTCGAATATTCTCGGTTAAATTAGTTTACCTCTTTGTCCTGCCGATACGGCTACTGATTCCATAACTTAACAGATCTAAGCCAATCTGATTTCTTCTTATCACCGTTACTTTCATTCGCGCTGCACAAATGGTCTCTGCTACACAACAACAAAATTTCAGAAGGTAATAAATTTCAGAAGAAAGCTATATGTGTTTACAATCCAAACTTCTTTTGGATTTGCACTTTTTCAGTTAAGTGAAGAAACATAAAAGCAGAGAATATATGACGAAGATTATCACCATCAAGAATACATGATAGATTTCCTCGGGTGCACAAATCTCTGCTTAGCGAGCAAGCCAGCGTGCTTTTCCCTGCACAGAGAGACTTCTAACATCATGAGAACTTTATAGACATTCATGGAGGAAGGTTTAAGACTGTTTAGAAGATTGACCTGAGCCACTGAGCCCTATGATCCACACAACACAACCCTTCTGGTTAATCAACTTCTGCCTTTTAGTTTTTCCAATAGGTGATTCTTGCCAGAATATGTTTGTCGAATTTCCAACTGTAGACATTCTCAAAATACTTCCTTCTGATCTGATCTTTAACCGAAACTCATAGTAAATGAATCACCAGAAACTGTATCCAATCTGCAAAGACACATTAAGAGAAAATATTAACATGACCAGTCTTCTTTAAATTTTCCAAAGATATAAAAGAAGGTTTCACAACAGGAGACGCTGACTTCACAGTAAAGCAAAAGAATTATTCATGCAATCCAATGTAACAAAACAATAACCTTGTGACAATGAGACTATGTTCCTCCTTTAACATAAACTAAAGGCCAAATCATCTGATTTTATTATATGATCTCACTAATGATCATGTGGCTAGCAAATTTATGTCCTTCCACAAAGCAATACGTTTCATTCCAGAATCAGTTCCACTAATCTCTAGAAGAAACATTACCAGAAACCCCACCAAGAAAATCACAGAGTAAAAACAGTAGATCATTTCAATTGGAATTAAGAAAATGTATAGTTGTATACCACAAAGATATAACCATCAAAACAATGACGCCAGGGATTAGAATCGCCAACGAAAATTAACCTGCCGAAAGAGTTTCGTCGGCAATGTTGCCGATTACTAACGAAGCAAGGATCTAAAGCATTTCCTACGACTCAATTTATTCGATTGATATTGATGATCTGAATGACATTGGGAAAAAGGCGTTGGAATTAAAACGTAGAAGAGAATATGAAGAAAATGTAGGAGATTAATTGTTCGCCTAATCGGTCAAATAACTCCAATTTTTGTGTTATAAATTTTTTTTGGGGGAAATAATAATTGACAGGAGCAGTGGTCCTTGAATAATGGTCTCAGGCATGGCGATCCCTCTGCCTCACGGTGGTTCTCAGACAAGGGATTAGTTTATTTTCATAGTGAGATCGCTTGAACAGTCTTTTCTTCCTCTCGCCTGAACATCGAGATCACGGTGGTTCTCAGATGAACAAAATAAATCACGATCTGATCTTCCTGATCCACGAGGATACGCTTTGTGACGGCGGAGATTGAAATTCCTTTTCGGTTGGCGTCGGGAAGTATTTTTCGAAAGGGATCTCGCTGCGGCAGAGAAAGGTGGTGAGGCGGAGAAGTGGCAAACGCATGGTTACTGTTGGTAAAGCCGCGGAGAAAGACCCGGTGAGGAGGAGGCGATTTCGTGGTCGCGGTGGGGAGAAAAAACCAAAGAAAAGTTAATTTTTTTGTTTTCTAAAAAATGAGAATATTTAGGGACTGAACTGATACTTTTGTTTTTTTGTCAATGAAGACAATGTCACATGTCACTTATGGAGAGAGTTCCCCCTCATTATAATATAGATTTTTAACAGTACTAGATATCTTAGTTACATTTATTAAAAAACATGAACTTCAATTCTCCCCCAGATCCTCTTTCACCGCCATAGAAGGTACATAAGTGAGAAAACGAGATCAACATACATACATACATACATACATGGATTCAAACAAAGTAAAGTTATAGTATTCAAACAAAGTAAAGTTGAGAATGTGAGTATTTTGTCTGAAAAATATGTGTTATGTTTTGATTTGAATAAAAAAATTTGATTTGTTAAAAAAGTGGTTAGAGTAAAATATAATTTGTAAAAAGAAATTGAAGATAAAAAGAGAAAATGAGAATTTGTACAACCTCAAATCATTTTTGGTATTAAGATAGGTGAATACACCTTTATTATAGAGATTTGATATAAACAATATTTTTGCTTGATATATGTTCTTAGTTGAATCTACTAGGTATACCAACTTACAAAATGCGGATCAAATAAAACATTCTTCCAACAGAACACACATGTATGTTGACACTGTATATATTTGGACTACAAATATATGTGTTATGTTTTAAAATATATAAATAAATAAATTGAAAAATAGTGGTTAATGTAAAATGTAATTTGAAAAATATTTATAAAGACAAAAAATGAGGATTTGAATAAACTCAAGTAATTTTTGTCATTAGACAGACCAAATCATTTTCATTATGGGGATTAGCTTTGATATAAACAATATTTTTGCATGCCAAGATTTGATCTCAACAAGATATTGGTATATCTTAAAAAAAACAATTTATTCCTGAGAATTTTGATATTGAAAGATTGATAAATTTTAATTGTTGATTTTTACTGTTTTTTAAATTATTCATCAAAATATATATATTAAAAACGTTTTAATACAGTTGCTGTAAAAGGCAACTTGGAAAACTGAGTTGTCTCCATATTTACACCCATAGCTGAAAAAAATAATTGCAATATTGCCCCCTCGATGATCTTGGAAACACGCTAGCGAATAGATCAAATGATTTACAGGGCAAACAAATTTCTGAAATGTAGGACACTTAATTGTCATAGAAGAAGTTAAGTATCCTGAAAAGTTAACGGTATTTCAAAATATGTCTCTTTACATGTACCACAGATTTGTAAACATGCTTGAATCCTACTACACTATTTAAAACATGACTTTTCTTAGCTTCAAACAGACAATGATGCTCAACACTCACCTGAAATATATATCAAGGTACATACAAGATTTAACTTCAAAGAAATCTCAATAACTGCGACCCATAAATATAGCTGCAGTGAAATGGCATTAACTTCAAAGAAATCTCAATGGTAAATTCCATTTGTTCCTTCACTGGCGCTAAATCAAAAAAGCCTAAAATTTGAGAGTAAAGGGAAAGAGCCTAATTCTAGGATATTGACAGGAAAAAAGCCTAATTCAAGGTGAAAGCTTTTTAAAAAGGACATTTGAGAAACTAATCTCGCAGCAGCAAGAGCATGGCCAAGTTCAAAAACTGAAACAGTAATAACAGTGGTATTAAATACGTACACGATGTTTGAAAGTGATACACGCTGCAAAAATACACTCCAAAAGATAAAATATTAAAAAATCTCTCAACATTTTCTTTTACTCCTAGGGAGTATATTAAAAATAAATCTACCATCAATGACAAAATATCTTCCAAATATTCCTCTTTAGGTTTAAGAGGACGTTTTTGATAATTTGTTTCAGTCGTGTGCTAACCAAAGAGTTTTCTAGTCATTACACCCATTTTTTCTATTTTAGTAATCTTCCCTATAAATAAAGATTATGTTGCTTAAAAGAAAGAAAGAGATCCTCCTCTTAAACCCTAGACGGCTACAACCTCTTTTTGCTCTCCAGGATCACTTCTTATCTTCTTGTATTTTGCTCGTCTGCTTCCATAGTTAACCTTTTTTTTATGGCTAATCACATCGTATATGTGGAGACAAATTTGGAAACCCGTCTCGCTGTCCTGCTTAATCACAACGAATCGGTCTCCGATTTTCTAGGTATGCTAATTTTGTGAAGATAATCGACTTTTAGTCACTCAGTTTCTGCATAACCAGCTTCTAAACTTATAGCGATGGTAATTTGGTCTTCTATGGTTTCTAATCAGTATTTTGTGGTTTATTTGTAGAAAAACTATGCCATGAGCATAACGAGATTTTCCCAGAAATGGAAGAAATCAAAATTACTGCGTTGAAGGTAATCATAATGTCTATTGGTTACCTTTGTTTTCTTTGTTAGCAACATCTAATAAGTGGTTTTTCTTTTTCGTTGTACATATATCAGACTAAAAAACAAGGTAAACTATTCGGCTTATCAGCTCATATGAATGTCAGTCAAGCTTTTAAGGAGACTAGTCGCAACTGGTACCTATATGCCGACGCCTTCAAAGTGGAGAAGGAAATAAAGTCTTCGAACCCTGAGTTAGCTGAACGAAATAAAGATATTGGAACTGACTCAGCACTTGTAGATGTGCATGACAAGGATCTGAGTGTTGAAGAAGGTCTTGAAACCCAAGTAGCTGAGAAGACCACAGGGAAGAGGAAATGGAAAAGGTCAGATGGAGAGAAATGTGGAGAGAAACGCGTCAACGATCTTAATCGATCTTATGATAGTAACGAGGTTGAAGCTGTTGTTGCTCCACCGAAATCAGAATCTTGTGCAGTTTTACCGACAGAAGGTATAACCTATGTTTTAACTATCAAAGAACATATAATTTCTATCTTTTATTATAATATCTTATGTTCTATAGACATTGAGATAGGCAACCGACATTGATAGACGTTGATAAACTTGTAAATTCATTTATATACTAAGTTTACTTATCCTCGGGAATGTTTGTTGTTGATTCAATTGATTCTTATAGAATGAATTCATTCTTATTGTCCCATTTAGTTGGAGTGTGTCAGTTCTCATTTACTGTTGATTACAAGGTTTTTAATGTTTTTATATTGAAAAATGATTTTTATAATTCTCATAATGTTGTCGCTGATTTTGTATAGAAAATGTGAAGGGTGAGAAATCTGTCTTAGATTCTGATAAGCTAGTGAATCATTTGGAGAAGAAAAGGAAGTCCTCAAAAGACTCGGGCGAAGAAGATAGTCTGGTTGCTAATAAAAGAAAAAGGAGCGTTGGAAAAGAAGATAGTCTGGTTGCTTCTGGCGCAGAAAATCTGAAGAAGATCAAGAAAAATTCAACCAAGAAATATAAAAAGAAACATTCTGAGAAGACTGTGGAGTCCCAAGATTATGTTCCTGGTCAAATCCTGGAGGAGAAGGCTGAGATTGGAGATAATTTCTGTCCTAGCCAAAACGAAGATATTGCTGGTTTTGATAAGAAGCAAAATCAAGTGATGAAACTCCTTGATTTGCATCACGGCGGTTCCGTTGAAGGTTCACTGAACACTATGAAACCGAAAGAGAAAAATGCTATAGCTCAGCCAGCTAGTTCAGTTACTAGTCATTTCCAGTCAGTGGTTAAGAACGATCACAGTGGTTTCAAGGTTGATCTTTCCGATGCATATGTGAAAGGCACAACGGTCGACAACAAGAATGAATCTTTGAAGAAAATCTACAACGGTTCCATTTTCAGAAAACCGAAAGCGAGAAAAACTAAGTTGAAATCTTCAGATGATGATAGTGATGTTGTGACCTCTATTTTTAGGAAGCAAGGTACTTTTATCTATCAGAATATAACT